TGGAGATTGCCTTATTTACGGGGAACGAGGGAAAATTTTTCAATTTTTGAGGATAATGTTTTGGATAATTAATGATTTATAAATAAATTTGACATAGTTCACAGCTTTAATACGTAAAAACTACAACAATGATGATCATAATGTTCGAGTAACGTTGTCTAGTGCACAATAAGAAAAGGGCAGAGTAAGAGTTTGCTCTTCCTTTTTATAATACTTTGTACCCCCGAAAATCATCATTTTTCATTCTTACAATACTACTGTTTATTAATAAGTAAGCATAAAATATAAAAATTATTACACATGAACAATATACAAATAATTTAAAAATTTTATATAACATTAATGTAGTTTTAGCTTTGATGCGAAGCTAAGAATGTATCGATTTTGCTATGTTTTTTTTTTTTTTGTTACTTTTACCACTTTTTCTCAGCTCTCACCGAATTGATTTATTTCAACGATACGTCAAAAAATCATAAATCGTATTTAAAAATAAAAAAAAGAATTTTTTACAAAAAACATATTTTTTTTATTAACTTTGATGTCCATTTTCACCATGAAGAAAAGTCCAGAGGTCAATTTTTTTTTCAAAATAAATTATATTACATAGGTTTTAATTTAAGATATATAAGTGTCAGTCTTTCCGAAACACTTTCAAAAGTTAAGTTGAAAAAATTCTACTTTCTATACGCATTTTAATAGGTTTGCACCCCCCCCTGTATAAAGGAAAAAGGTCTGATTTAAAAAAAAAGTATGTCAAATGAAAGAGGTTTATAAAGTATTTATCATTAAAGAATAGAATGGATTCATGCATTTTTTAAAAAATTATAGCAACATAATGTTAAAAAATATAAAATATAATATCTTATAATCTATCTTATATCTATAAAGAATTTTTTGCACACGGTAGTCATTTACAAAATGAAGACAAGTCCAGAGTTCAATTTTTCTTTTTCAAATTAAAGTATAATAGAACAAGAAAAAAAAACGCTTTTCTGGCAAAATTACTTAGCGTGCTCAGATTTTCAAAAATTTTTTTTCAACGAAAGTACTCGGTCACCAGACTCATGGAAAATTATAGGTGAAGGTCGGAAAATTTTTGCCGCTCGCCCGCAAGCGTTTTAAAATTTCGAAGGTTTTTGAGAAAAACGCTCGCTGACGCCAGCGTTTTACGACTTAAGGTTTGAAATTTTCATCAAACACGCCCAATGACATTCCTGAGATATGATAAAAAAACCAAATCAATCAGTTCATTTTTTACCGTTTTACGAGCAAGTCCACGCGCATGGTTTTTTAATGCGCAGTGATTCATTTCTGCTCATACGTTTATTATGAACCTTAATTATATGGTGTAATATGTATTTTTATTAGAACACTATTTTGCATTTGCACATAGCACTATATTTTATCGAGAAATATTATATGTTAGATATAAATTTCAAAATGGTTATAATTATATAAGTTTGTACTTTCATTTTCAGAACAGTAAATTATTAATAAACATTTTTTTCTCATCTATGATGTATGAGTCTATTAGTTTATCGTTTAAATTGATCGATTAATTTTACATTCATATAAAAACAAATATTAATAATAACAAATATTGCATCGAATAAAAAAGATTTTTTAAAGAAAATGCCATTAGCTTATGCGACATCTTTTGTATGAAGTCCAAACTAATATTAAAATACCAGTTTTTAAGCATTGCCAATCATAACATAGACATCCGTCGTATCTATTTCTTTAAAATTAATATTTTCACCAAGTATTGAACAAAATGTATAATGTCATTTAAATAAATATATTGTGTATTATTATTGTTTATTACCGGATATAGTATATTTAAATTTTAAACTTTATTCTTAATTGTAGTTCAATTATATTTGCTCTTCTATTTGATATGTTTTACATGGAAAATTATATAAAAGCAAAATATTTTTGGCTTCTTCAGACAATTTTTCTGGCTACGTACTTGATTAGTTATATCAAATTAGTAAATTAGGTGTTCATTATATATTAGTATAGGAGACGAGACTTCTTGGCGCGCAATATTGGGTTTAGTTTCGTTTTCTGAGCTCTACAGTTTTGTTAATACTGTCTAACACAAACTATAAATCGTTAATAAAACACTGTACATTTATTATTATAATAGAACGATTAAGCATTGTCGATTTTAAGTGAGACTATCTATGAAACGTCTTGACGTTATTCACGGTTAATTTGCTTAGTATCCCCAACGTCAAGACCTGTAAATTTAGTTGAATTATCAACGCTAAAAACTCAACCAAGTTGAAAACAACGTTTATCGTAATATATCACTTAAGTAGAGATCATAAGTAATCATTAGTAGAATCACATCAATAGTAATCATTAGAGGTCGGATTTTTATGATTTTACATATTTGTTTCTAGTCTATGCAGTTAAATGGGAGTGAGAAATCTTTAAGATTCATGAAACACAGAATTCACAAGAAAAAATTTATTTTGCATAAAAAAGCATATTTTAGGGGTTAGAGAATATTTAACACATTAGAGAATATTTGAGAATATTTTTGTAATATCGGCATATAATGAACATATTTGACGTATATCAGCGTATATAATAGTAATCATTTATAATTATCTTTTGGTATTTAAAAAGATTCTACAATTGAAGTATTTAGAGCTTAATTAATTTTAACGATTTACTTTATCTAAAAAAACCAATCATGTTGTTAAAAAGATCTACTCAATTGAGCGTATTATATTATTTGATTATAATTGTAAAAATTCATTGTTAATTTCAGGTTGTTACGTCGCTATTTAGGGGTTGAGCCTAAATGCCCGTCGACAGTATTCTAAGGGACCAACGGGGGATAGCTGGCTAGGCTATATCTACCTTAGGTACTGAAGTTTCCTATTTAATTTATATTCCCTTAGAGGAACTACCAAGGGTCGCACTACAATATATATATATAACACTTTAGGTTAACAACGATATAAATAAATATTTATTAAGCAATTTAAATATTAAATGGATAATACAACCTGCTGGACACCTAGAGATGATATAATCCAACAGAGAGCTGACGGCGACACACACACACACTATATACGGGGTAGCGAAGTTAAGTTAATTATCAGGCAAAAGTAGTGATCGCGAAGATGGTAAAATGTCAACTGTCGATAAGGATATCTTATTATGGCACATTAGCCGTGGAATGCAAAAAGTGTTTATATGTGCAGTCCGCCCTCCTGTTAGTATTGTTGTATGTCACTATGTTAATTATATATGTCTATTAAACGGTACAATGATGTTATGGGAGACAGATATATAAGCACATGCTATGTGATCGTATCAAGGTAAAACTAAAAATCATTGTTTTTTTTTTTAATTTTATATATAGTACCAAATTTATTTCCACTTGGGGTTCGAACTTCGTATACCAAGCTTGAAAGACACAAGTGAAACCGACTTGGCACCGTACGTCGCATTTGTAGGGTTGATAAAAATGACAATTCAAGTTAATTTAAATTGAAATAAGTATAACAATATATACTATGTCAATTAGGTTTATATAATATTTACGAAAATCAGCGTACTCCCCTTGTAAGGTGTTTTAAAATAAAATAAAATACAAAATCGAGAATTTTACCACAAATAGCATATTTTTGAATACGGGTTCCATTTATACCATGAAGACAAACTAAAGTTCTAAATTTTTTTTCCGTAAAAAAGTATGTTACATTAGCTTTAATTTAAGATATATATAAAAATGTCAGTAATTCCGGATCGTTTTCAAAAATAAAGTTGAAAAACTTTAACTTGAGTGAAAAAATTGCTATTTTGAATCTTCCCCCGTGTGCAGATAAATGGCCAGATTTTCTAAAATTGTTTACCAAATAAATTTATTTTTAATAAAGTTATGACACGTTTATGTATTAAAATATTTATATTTTAAAAGGTAATTTTTATATAAAAACTACATTTTTTAATCAATTCGGCGGGCATTTCCCCAAAGAAGAAAAGGTTTAGTTTTATATAATATTTACGAAAATCAGTGTACTACCACAACACAAAAATAGCATAATAAAGATTAAATAAAAATGTCAATATTTCTGGAACACTTTCAAAACTTAAGTTAAACAATTTTAATTTTTATTCAAAAATTTTTATATTAAATTCCCCCTGTGGACAGGTAAAGGGTCAGATTTTCAAAACATTTATATGAAATGAAAGAAAAGTACCCATGGTTTCAAAATAAAAAAAATTATTTTGATTCGTTCATTTTTCTATAGTCTATGGATATTTTTAGAAAAAAAATTTAAAAAATGTCAAAATTTACCAATTTTAATAATTGTAATTTTTTGATCGATTTCTCCCCCATTTATGGGGAACGAGGGAATTTTTGAGAATAACATCTTCGACTAGATACGATTTATGATCTTTTCACACATCGTTGAAAGAAATTAGTTCGGTGAGAGATGAGAAAAGGTATACAAACACAAAAAAATGATAATTAAAAAATTAACACATCATGATAAAATTAATATCTCCTCGATTCTTATCGAAGCTAAAAAAATAAAGTAAATGATTTATTTCTTTATTTTTAGATAAGCAATTATAGGTAAATATATGTGCGAAAAACATTTGTCGTTTCATAATTTAGTAACCAGAATTAACGTTTATCATTTTTTTTTTAATTATATAGAAAATTTTTATGACTATTTAATGATAAATTAGTAACTATTAAAAAAACCATCTGCAAAATATCAAAGCTTATTTATAAACTTAAATTTCAGTATTTCATGTTGATTGAAACAAACAAAGGAAGTTTTTTTATAGTATTTTGAGTATAATTATGACGATAAAATAATTATATAAAATACTAAGGTTTTATACCTGTCTTTATAAATAAAATGTTTATATTAATAGTAATATTAAATATTAAAACCAAAATTTAATTTATTAAACGCTTTGTTTGCTATTTTAAAAATATATAAAAATGGCCTTTCAACGCTAAAAAAACTTAGTATTGTTATAATAGTTTTAGTTTTCAATTTTATTCAAATACAGCGATAATCAATCCAAAAATGTATTTTTACATTTTCTTTGTTGTTTATCTAGCAAATAATTTTTCAAATGGACTTATTTTCAAGACCAATCCTTTGGATAAGGTAAATAGATATCATTTCATTTTTAAGAAAAGTTAAGAATAGGTTAAAAGTTTTCTAATTATAAAATTAATTTTTAGGAATATTTATTTGTTTATTGAGACATATATTATTTTTTACTCTATCTTTCTTAGATATATGATTTTCCGAAAAAAAACATATAAACTTGTATTATTTTTTAAATAGCATAAATAAATAAAATAATCTATGTTGAAATCATGTATTATAAATTTTGGACAACTAGAAATTATGAAAATTTTAAAATTTGTTAAAATAAAATATCTGATACTTTGCTCTCATTTAAATTTTTACTTAAAATTATTTTTCTAATTTAATTAATTTATTAATTAGTCAGTAATACGATACTCAAACATAATTTTGCATGTTTATAAATTTGGCAGTAAAATCTTACTTTCTAGTAATTAAAATGTTACATATGAATTCCTTAAAATTAATATTTACAAAACAATTATGGGTTCTCTACAGTATAAATACAGTCATTTAATTAGATACAGTACCAAATATCTATGTCTGATTTGAATGATTCTTGAGTTTAAAAAACCAGAACAGGAGGTCACGGCATAGTGGGAACAAGTATAAATGATATTTGACAATAATTAAAATCACTATTATAAAAAACACTTCAATCAAATCTGTAGATAGTATTTCATTTTTAGAAGTAATTATTAAATTATTCCCAAACAACGTGAACTTTTATTTTCTTATTCATATCTTGATAATTTATAATTATAATATTTGAATAAATATACTTGGAATCTATAAAATAAAACACATACTATAAAAATGAAATTTAGCATAAAAGTGATATTCAATATTTTATATTGTAATTTTAACTAACTAATAAAATAATATTTATCATATTACGAAAGTGACTGGTCAATAACAAATTTTGAAATAGTACTTTGAAATGATAAAAATAAAATAAAATAAAACACTTGAACTGTAATAATACTTTAGAATCTATAAAATACTCAATAATAAAGAACCAAGACGTCAAGGTTTAATATATAATGAGTGAGTAAATATATATATATTATGTTTATAACAAAATTAGTCATACAAGAATATCGCGGGTACGGAGACGGTAAAAGTTCAACTAACTCGTATTATCATCTATATTGGTGACACAACTAGTATAGCAACGATAAGCTAACCCCTCTGCTACTTTCATGCACTATATAAACTATACATTTCATTAACAGATCATTTTCAAAACTTAAGTTGAATAAGTTAACTTAAATACAAAAATTGTCATTTTGAATGCATAAAGCTTCGCATCGAATTTGACCTTTATAAGGTAAAAGTGATAAATTAAAAAAATAACTTTTGCTTTCATCTATATCAACTATACTTGTTCAAACTATACTGGTTTTTTCTAAATAATATTAGGTGCAACAGGACAATGTCCCGACAGAAGAACTATTACACAATATTGGGGTCCTTTCATCAAGTTCTATTTTCAAAAATTTTATGATTTGATTTTAAATGAACAATAATTATTATATTATAATTTATTCAAATAATTCTTTAGTGATATAAATAAAAAACACTGAAGAAAACTTCAGAATTAAGGTTATTTCTTACTGTATTCAACATTTTATTAGGCCACCTTAGAATATTTTCTAGTATAAAAAATATGTTACTCTTTTGACTTTTAACATCTATTCAATTGTTGAATGTGAAGAAATTATTTTTGTTGTTGCCACTTACACTAGTTACAGTTGAAAAAACTTTCAAAGCTGAAATTAATTAAATTCACACGTTTATAACACAGAGTAACATTGATTTTCAGAGAACACACTATTTTATTTAATATATTATTTTTGTATTATATAATATAAAATATTAATATTTAACATTCCTGTTCTTCTATTAATGATAAAAATTTAATAAATTTACAGCATCAATGACATTATTTAATTTACTTAATAATACAAATTTTAATTTAATTTTATTAGGACATAAAAAAATTGTTGCACTTAATTGAATATTTATGTTCCCTATTTATTAATTAACATTTAATGTATTAAATGTATATTTTTTCGTTGTATTGTCCAAGGAAATAGATACAACATGTCGATTTAAAATTTAAATATGAAGTCTTATTTTACATTGTTTACGCTTTGAAACTTATAAATATATTTAATCATTATTTATGGATATTAATGCTTATTTTGTTACAAGCAATTCAATTTTATTATAATATTTATATTGTTCATTAAATTCGTTTTAAACTTCTTATAGACCTAAAATACACTCGATTCTAGAGGTCATGCTTTTTATTTAATTATAGTTTTCATCTATGACACAATCACATTTTATTTTAGGTGGGGTAATTTTAAATTATACGAATGATTGTTTTTTTACTGAAAACAATAATAATAAAATAATTTGAACAAACTAACAATTTATAAAACTTAAAACCCACGTTAAAAGACATATGATATTTGTATACTTATTGCTAATATTCTAAAACTTCTTACAGTATTCTCTTTTAAGTTTCTAAACTTTGTCACTTTAAATAAAATATTCTTTTTTATATTAAATTTTTATAACCAGTTTATAGAAAACTTCGGTATTTTAAATTAAGTTGGATTTTGTTATAAAACCATAAAGGTGCATACATTTAAGAAACAATGGTAATTTAACAATTTCTTCTAAAACTTGAACACTAACGACAGATTTGCGCTGTAGTTTTTTATAAAAATGATTTTAATCACTGTCAGATATCAACTATACTTTTCCCAACTATACCACAACTTATTGTATTGCGACCTCACTTGCTGAATTTTGTAGTGAATCAAAAAAAGAAGAATAATATATTATTTTAATACTTTAATGTATTAATATGTTATAATTAGGGGGTTATTAATTTTGGGAGCTACTTTGACAGTTGCTTAAAAGTAATAATTTAAATAGAATACGAAGGGATTTGAGTTCTTATTTGATCCACTACTTTATTGTATTAATAATATTATTACTCGGGGTATGAGTACGAGGGTCTGTAAGAAAGATAGAAGATAATAGAAAAATAAAGTGATCTTTATTTTATTAATATGGGATTTATCATAATTAAGTGTCAATTCTTAAATATCAATAATGCCACGAGTTTTGACGGTTATCGATGATAGGTGGGATTGAGTCACCTCGTGTGTCTACCCAGAGTGGTATGGTGGCTATACATATGAACCTCCAACCTAACTCCTGAAATAGACACATATCAACGATATAACTATGCCAAGTAACTCTGTACAAACATTATCGATTTATTAAATTTACTTGGTATATTTATTATTATTGATAATCACTTGATTTTCCTGTANTTTATTATTATTGATAATCACTTGATTTTCCTGTACGCCTACATAATCTATGTACTCATAATATTTAATTCTAAACCTTATTTATTTTTGGTGAATTTATTAGATTCCTACCTTGATATTTTCTGCGATACATTTAAATAAATAGATGTTGTGTTTTTCTTTGAACAAATATAACTGTGTTGACGGCGGATCACTTCTTGCATATATTTCGTAGTGTGGAATGATCGAGCGTAGTGAGTGCCTCTGTAAATATCTGATTGCATCTGTCTCAGGATGCTCTTTATTTTTGGCTTTTTATATTAAATTTGATCGTAGTTCAAAGGCAAGAAGTAATCCCCGACGCCACCGTTATTTCTTTATTAATCGTAATTTATTACATGTTATTTATTACATTTACATCAATAATGATCTACATATTATAAAATACTATTATATCTTACATAATAAATTAGACATAGTTTATTACCCTTCATCTTATGTGCTACCATTACATATTGTTTATTATTTCCTATTTGTTTTATATAATTAATATATGCTTTTTTCTACGAAATTTCATTAGTATGTTTAAACATTTAAAAGGTACATATATACAGGGTGTTCAGTAAGTCGGGTTTCTATTGTTCTCATTGTTTGTAACAATGAGAACAATAGAAACCCGTTTCCTGACTTACTGAACACTCTGTATATCTTATTTTTATTGGTATACATTTCATTTTGTGTGATTGATTGATTGAAGTCTTAAATACTACATTATGACATTAATGATCTAATGTGTATACAAATAATTTATTATGATATTAATGATGTACTATGTATATCATTACAATTTTTGTAACTAAATCTGAAGAATTTATGGCCATATTATTATTACTTATAATGTCGTCTAATTCATTTCAGAATAAAGAATTATTTAAGTCAGCATTGCCTGGTTTGAAGAATTATTTTAATAGTAATATAATAGATAAAAATGGTATGAAACTTGAAGAATTGGCAGAAATACTGATGGGATTTAATTTTATACAAAAAATACCTCATGAAATTGTCAAAGAATCATTCGTTGAAATAGTTGGAGACAGTAAGTAAAACTTTAATAATGATATTCAAGTTGAATTTTATTTTCAACAAATACTATTATAACTTACTTTGTGAAATTAATGTATTTTCCTATTTTTCCGTTGTGTCGTTCAAGGAAATAGATACATCAATATTTTGATTACATACATAAATATGAGGATTTATTTCACATTGTTTTCGGTTGAAATCTTATAAATACATGTAATCTTTATTTATGCATATTAATGCTTAATTTGTTACAAGCAATATAATTTTATTATAATAATTATATTTTTCCATAAAATTCGTTCTAAATTTTCGTGATTTGTTTTATTTTTAATACTAGGCTTTACCTAGCTAGGGCACTGTGAACCTCACACGCATTCAGCGCGTAAGCCTCTGTTACGTCGCTATTTAGGGGTTGAGCCTAAATGCCCGTCGACAGTATTCTAAGGGACCATCGGGGGATAGCTGGCTAGGCTATATCTACCTTAGGTACTGAAGTTTCCTATTTAATTTATATTCCCTTAGAGGAACTATCAAGGGTCGCGCTACAATATATATATATATATATAAATATATGTAGCACTTTTGTATAACAACGATATAAATAAATATTTATTAAATTATCGAAATATTAAATGGATAATACAACCTGCTGGACACCTAGAGATGATATAATCCAACAGAGAGCTGACGGCGACACACACACACACTATATACGGGGTCGAAAAGTTAAGTTAATTATCAGGCAAAAGTAGTGATCGCGANTAGGTCACTGATTCAGGTAGGATTACCCGACTACGCCGGGCACAATAAGTGTTTTGCAGGAAAAATATTACATCAGAATTAGTGTAACAATAATTTTTTTAAAAATTTCGTAACGTGACAAAAATTATCTGTTCATTTTAGCTTTGAGGCGAAGCTGAGAAGGTATTAATTTTACTATGATGTGTTTTTTTTTTTGTATGTCTGTGAACGCTCAATCTCAGCTCTCGCTGGACTGATTTTGATGAACAATATGTCAAAAGATCACAAATCGTATTTAGTCAAAGATATTGCCCTCAAAAATTGAAAAAAATTCCCTCGTTCCCAGCAAACGGGGGAAATCCCCCAAAAAATTACAAATTTAATAATCGCTAATTTTCGAAATTTTTTCAATTTTTTTTACTAAAAACTGCCGTAACTTTTTCAAAAATGAACATATCAATATAATGGATATTATTCTTAACTTTTTAGTTCGATGTGCTTTAAAAGCGTATTTTTTAGTTTTTTAAACTATATTTATTTATGTATATGTTTTTTTCGTGAGTGCCCGCTATATTAAGCATGTAATTTTTTTTAATTTTATGGCGTCGGCTGAACCTGCCACTGTAAAAGTGTAGGTTTAACTATTTTTTTTTAATAATATCTGTTTTTTTTTTCTCTCTGTTCCCCATTAATTTGTAGATGAGGTTTTTTGACCGTTTAGTTTTTTGCCTCGTATAACTTAATTTTTTTTTTACCCTTAATTTAACTTAACTATCACCTTATTTTTTTTTGCGTGTTCTATCTTCAATGAACTCGTGTGATTTTTTATTTTTCTTCCTTTCAAAAATCAACTCCCCTAGTTTATAAGGTACGGGCAACGGCCTTGTATAAGGTCATCCCTGATCATCATGGTTATGTGACAACTGTCACGAGGTACTGGTGTACATCAACTATCAACGACTCAATAGACATCAAATACAATTTTTTTATTTTTTTTATCTTAAATTGCTTTCAGTTACAATACATTGTCTCGCCCAGTGGATTGGCTAACTTTTCTTTTTGTATTTTTCAATGCGCCATGAAGTTACAAATTTTCCGCTGTGACCAATTAATTCAATTTTTTTATTATATTTGTAACCTTTCAAATTAATTATTAAAATCAGGAAAATTCAAAAAGAAATAATAGTAAAATGTATTGGGTATAAGATTGACATTTTTAATAAGGTATTTACTAAGGTTTTTTACACCCCCTTGGGTGTATTCAGAAATTATAATAAGAGGGCATTTAATTTTTTTCATTTTGGTGGTAAATATGCTATAGAATTTTTTTGCTGACCTTCAACAATAATTTTCCGGGAGTTTCATGTCCGAATACTTTCGTTGAAAAAAAAAATGTTGAAAATAGGTTCACACAAAGTAATTTTCCCAGAATAGCTTTTTTTTCATGATCAATTATATAATAAGATGATTAGAGATAAAATGAATAGATTCTAACGCGAATTAGTAATTTTTTTGAAAAATATCTATTCTTTAAAGTGATACTTTTATTGTTATTGGAAATTATTAGTATTTTAAAATAAGTTGAATCTCATAAGAAAACAGAATTGTATACTTTTAAAAATCCATAGAAACACATAATTTTAAGAAAAAATATTATTGCTGAATAAATTTCATCATAATGCTATGCCTTTATTTTAAAAAAACACATAAATCATGATCAAGTAAAGAAATTTACTGGAAATAAATCATGATACAATATGGCTATAAAAGACATCATGTTTCTATTTTCCCTAAAATGATCTAGGAGAAAATAATAAATTCATAATATATATTTAAATAGCCAATAGAAAAATTTATATGAATTTAAATGAAGCACTCCTGTTTAACAGATGTTAACTAAGACTTGTAAAATAAAGCTAACTGATAGTAAAAACAAATATAAACCGCCGAAAATTTCTAACTTGACTGACAACTGTAATAAAATATCAACACTTTTCAACATAAAATAAAGTTAATCGCAGCTTATTTTTAACCAGGAACCTTATAACCTGTTATCAGAACGTGTTTTTTTCACTGTTGAATTTGAAATCCTGACTGTGTACCGTTTTTTTATTTTTACATTTTTCAATACGCAATATCCTGCGGTAAAATTAACGAAATGACTAAGTTATCTTGTTATTATCATTTTTAAAAATTTTGTATAGTGATGAAGATAGATTTTAAAACAAAGATTAATAGGGAGATTCACCCCTCTATTTCCCCCGCTAACATGAATTTATTCAGACTGGGCTTCATGGATCCCCTACAAGTACATTACCTTATAACTTACATGAGAGTCAACAAGTGAGATAACACAATTAAAATGAATAGCAATTCAACAAATACACACGTTTTTACAGAACATTTAAGATGTCCACTTGGTTTTATTTATATATCTTCAATAATTAATGATTGGTATTAAAAAAAAATAATTAATGTAATACATAACAATTATTTTTCTGTGTAATTTATAAATTATACAAAAATCAATCAATAAACATTTATATTTATATTTTGTTTGGGATCATAAAAACAATTGAGTTGAGGAATAAATAATTAATAATTCTATTTCAACACAAATATTTGATAAATTTAAGTTGTGATATATATTAATATTCGTAGAGTTTTGAAATGTTTTGATATATTCACTTCAAACAGTACTAGTACTTTTTATATAATTAAAGTATTAGGAAGTATTATTTAATTTTCAAATAATATAAAAAACTAAATCATGTATAAATTATTATTTAAAATATTATAATAAATTAATTAAATTAAGTGTCATTAAAAATTTCAGTCAATGATAATTATGAATGTAATTATTATTAGTCATAACATTTTACTTTTAAATAAAAATGAATTATTAACACTTAAATTTTATTTCATTAAGAAGACGGATTAATGAATTTCGATCAATTTAAAATGCTAGCGACGATTTTGATCCGTCGTTATGAAAAATGCATTGAACATCAGTTTAATGCGTTTTCGAACAAAACAGATAAGATGACTTTAGAGAAATTAGTAAAAGCTCTTGAAATTTTTAACATCGTATACACTGAAAAAAGTCTTATTATATTAATGAATCATTTTGAAGGTAGAGGCGCACAATTTATCAGTATGAAAGGTAAGATAAATATTACGTATAATATTTAGACTTTTACTACTTATAAAATAGGCCAATGTATTATCTTTCAAAATTTTTTTAACATTTTTTTAACCAACCAAATGGAACCATGTGTCATCAAGCATCATGAAATTTCACTTTTTGACTTGATCTTATTACTTCCTAATTCCATCTGATATTCATGATACATTTGTATGATAATTTTTGATTCGTTACACAATTTATTTTTAAAAAATATGAATATCATTGGTAGTAAAAGTTTTTCTTTTTAAATTTATTTTAACAAATATTATTACTCAAATATAACAGCAATAAATAAACATTATTTTTGAACCTTACTCTTTTTTCTCCAGTTAATTATAATAATATATGTTCATCATATATTTTTATATAATTCATTTTTGTATAATATTATATGTTTTTCTTAGATTTTTATACATATGCGATTACGTTAGCAAATAGAATAATATTATTATAATAACAAATTTTCTCATCAAAAAAACTTTTCGATAGCGTCTAAATTTGATAATCGGTATAATTTATAATGATTGTCGAAAATATTATAGCTGATATAAAGTTATTTTATTAATTTTTAAGTAGAATTTTTCTATGCATTAAATAAAAAACTGAAATATATTTATTTTTAATGATATTTTTTTTTATTTTTATTTTTAGCATTCAGAAATATATTCGGGTATCTGTTCTATAAAAAGATCGACGCCACAAAAGATGGGAATTTAGATGATATTTCTATATTGCATTGATTTATTTATTGTCTGTATAAATTGATTTACATAAATCACTGTTAAAACTGTATTGATAATAAATTGAATTAGTTTGCGAGATATTAGGAGGTTTTATTATTGTGGAGCCAAGAAAGGACTTCCTATTGTTATAAAAATTATATATAATTGCTTAAAGTAATGAAAATAAATAAAGAATCATCATTATAATAATTGATTAAGTGTTGTGACAATTTTCAAGGGCTGCGAACCATTTCGAGATGAATGATTGTAATTGAATATAATTCAATAAACTTCTCTACATGTTTGTACTACTGCTTTAATTGAACTACTTTTGAATAATTATGTTATTTTTAATAAAGAGACAATACATTACCATATAAAACTTTTAACTTTTATTATTCAAAGTTGACGCGACTTACGTCACAATAATGTAGTCGACACTGGTTTTGAGGGTAGAGACCCGTGGGCCGTTTATTAATGAGCAACAACAGGTTAATTTTAAAAAAGACAAACAAACCTAAAAGACGAACACAGTAATAATAATCTTCGCTTAATATCACTTTCGCTGGCGTCGACAACTCAATGTCCGGCAAGATCCTCGGCGTCAAAAAGTTAGCAGCGTTGGTGGTGTTGGTGCGCGGGTGCGGGTCGGTTCGTTGTCGTTTTCATAACGGGTGGAAGACTCACTTATCATTTGTTGCGAGTGGTCGACGGGCATACGGCACTTGCTGGACTTTGCACCGTGACGTATGGGACGCGGTATTATCAGTCAAGTATTCAAAGTAGGGCGACGGATGATAAAGGTGGCACGAGTCGCAGGCACCGTGTATAAGGAGCGACGCGTGTCAAAGTGTTAAATAAGAAAAAAAAAAAGAGATAAATTTTAATGATTTATCAAAAAAATGGAAAACTTTGTTTTACTTTTTGAACACCTGTATAAAATGATGTAAAGGTATGAAACACAGTCTTTTATATATATATATATATATATATATATATATAACGTATCTGCTATACGTTTTAATAATGAAAATATGAACATTTATATTTATAAATTGAAAGTAAATATCTGAAACGCTCAGATTCAAGTTAAATTTGCAGACAATTTACTAAAATGTTTTTCATTAGTTGCAATGGAATGGTTTTTGTTAAATACCTTTAAAGATAACACTAAATTTAATTCTAAACTTGCAATAAAAATATTTATTTTAGAATGTAAGATTTGACACAATCCCATGTCGCTACATGGTACACGGAGCCCACGGCCCGCGTCACTTTCATCGCCATACTATGTGTAGGTGATAGTTTGACTAACATCGTGTGCATACTGTCGTAACTCAAAACTTATTAAAATAAAAAAAACCCAGCATAATGGGGACGTGGCCTATTTGAGTCAAGTATAATGATATCTGACAGTGATTAAAATCACTATCATAAAAAAAACGATTCGATTCAAAATTGTAGTTTGATTTTAAAAAATTGGTGGATTATTTCAAAAGCTACATGATTTCCCAATCAGAAATTAACAACAGGCGCAGTACAGCACCCGTACTGGCAGTCGATACTGGACCAGAGCTGTCACATGTCTGGGATGATAACGCTTTACCAGTACTGATTGGCGCTGGCGTAATTCCAGATATAATCAATATTGGCTAAAACTGCTAGCATATCTTTTGAATTTTAATAATAATTTCATGGACCTTCAGTACTGGTCCAGTTACATAATTGTATTTATCAAGTTTTTGTTCAACTCGTTTTCAAGAGTATTTCATTATGATAAACGATACTTCTAAAAATAACTACGAGTCAGGAAATAGGTAGTTCATAGACAATTTGATTAATTAAATAATTAACAAAAATTGTTTTACTCATTACATATCTGTTTTTGAATTATAATTCATAATTAAACAAATTAATAATGATATAACATAATGAAGAGCAATATAAAACATAAGAATATCCAAAAATTGTTTTATTTAAAACATGTGATCTGGCACATGTGAATAATAAAATATAATTTAATATATTAATTATAATAATAGTGATAAACATAATATTACATAACAGTAAAAATAACAATTAAACATAAAAAAGTCTAAGAATTAATTAATAATGCATTATGCAATACATTATTTTTTAAATAAAATCCATAAATTAAAGTGTTATATGTATATACATATAACACTTTAATTTATGGATTTTCTTAGTTTTTTCCCTCTCTCTCTATCTTTAGCACCTGAAAACCAGCAGCTGAAGATGGTAGCAATTTCTTTGATGGAGATAGTTTGATATTTGGAAAGTAATATTTCTAAAATTTAAGTATTCAATAAAAAGTATACAGTTAAAAATTATACATATTATAACAAAAACTTATAAGCTGATGCACAAGCATATCAAAAGTCTGACAGGCACTTAATATGAGTACATTATTTAGTTAATTTTGGGACATTATAATTGCATGGTTAAATGTTCTTTAATGTATCATCTTATAAATTTTGATAAATATTAATACATTATTATACCTAATAAATACTTGTAGGTATTTGTTTTAGAAAAATTGAATTTTTTTCCCCATTAGTTTCCCTCCCAAATGCTGTATATACATCAGTTGGACTTCTTTGGAAATTATCTTTAGCATAATGACATTTATATTTCTTTAACTTAAGATTTTTTTTTTTCTTTATTAATATATACACAATATATACACAAATGGCACAATAAGAGTATTAGCTAAGATAAACAAGAATGAAATATTGAATGAAGAAGCCACCCACCGATGACACTTTCGTCTTTTAATAATTTTGTTTTGTCCTTATACGCATATTTTTTTTTTTTTTTTTTTATGGATTGAGTAGGTCTCTGCACCATTTACGCTTAAGGCGGCGAGGAGGGTTACCAGGGATGGTTAATGAAGATAGATTTTTTATGAGCTCATTTGGATGAGAGCTAAGGCGTAGGTGGAAACGTTTATAATAATTTTTTGCCTCTTCTTGAATTGTTTTCATATGTAGATCTTTATGCAGAGAGTGATTTGACACATATGGTGGACAAATAGTAATTTTTCTTAGTATTTTATTTTGGAACCGTTGAATTTTATTTAGGTTAGAAATTTTTGCGTTGCCCCATAGCTGAAAGCCGTACGTCCAGATTGGCTTTAGGAGAGATTTGTAAAGGAGTAGTTTAATATTTAGGTTTAAGTGTTTGTTGTTGACGATTAGGGTTTTGAGTATTTGTAAGCGGGAGTTTAATTGTGATGTTTTGGCTTTGATGTGTTGAGCCCAAGTAATGCGGCGATCATAACTTTAGATAATGTTTTTATATTATAAGTTATAAAACATCTCTGAAAATTAAAATATTAACATGTTACTACTAAACAGTAATATTCACCAATTGCTTTATAAGGTCAATATCAGTTTTTAACATGTCATCAAATTCTTTAAAACTTTCATATGTTGTCTTAACAAATCAATCATTTTGTTATCAAAATATTTTCAATATCAATAGAATTAACAACGGACGAAATTATTGCTCGTGTTATCTTTCATTCTTCCTTTATTCTGTATTCAAAGCTACGCTTCAAGCTTTCTATTTCCATTTTACTAATTGGTATAATATTATCTGAAATCAATATAATATTTACTACAATAACATACAATATAAATAATAAATTTAACACCCAATTGTTGTGTATTTATTACCTGAGCGACCACAAGTTGGGCAGAATTTATTTTTTGTTGTTTGTTTAACTGAAAAAAAAAGTTCTTACATTAATAGAAATTATTTATGCTAATCTATTTAAATATCATAGGGAAAAGAGTATATTATATTAATTAATGTTAAGTTATTCGGAGTATCTAGCTTGAGAAATTGAAATTAAATGTTAATATAGTGTCATGTTATAATTAAAAATACTTCTAATTAGTTAATCACTAAAAAATATCAGAAATACTCAATAAATACTATACAGTTAATTTAAAATAATACATATACAGTAGGGCGAATAAAAAACGTCGATCTTTGAAATTTTAATGATAACCATTTTTAATTTAATTTATACATTAAAATAGTCATTTTGGGAAAATTTGAGATTTTTAAAAAAAAATTTACTTGTAGCTCAACGTTTTTTTAGTATTTTGACCAAAAATACCCCAAAAAACGACCTCTGTTATTCAATTTTTTATCAAATATTATGATTAGTATATCAAAATAGTTTGATTTTAACTGTAGTATACAAATTTTATAGTTTTAAAATTTTAAGTCAAAAATTGATAGCGTAAATATCATAATTAACGTCATTATACTGTATATTTCTAGTAGGTCTCAAGTAAGCGTAAACATTTTTTATTTCTTTTTTTATGCAGTTTGGCTGATATTTATGTATATTATAAGTAGAAAAAAAATTCATCACTAATCTTAAAAACTTATTCCTTTTTTTATAATTAATGCACAAGATAGAATATACGATATTCTTGAAAATATGAATAACTGACGATTGTCTTTACATACTTTTCAAATATTTTTTTTTTATTAAACAATTCATTTTTTTAGCTATCTCTCTTTCTGTTGGATCATTTACCACAAATAAAGATTCAACTTAAGTTTTTGCCAAATTATAATTTGAATTTTGATGCCATTTTTTGGGAACTTTGTGTAATAAGTCATCATTTATTTTAAAAGTTAGAATAAATTTTTAGTTTTGTTCTCATTTTTTATTTAATGCTTACACCATTTTAATTTTTACACCTGCCAATAAATCTTCGTAAAACGCCCAGAAAAAGTTTTTATCACTACCTCACTTACATACTTCTTAATATTATTACATTGCTTTAGTTCTCGTAGTAGTTTAAGATCATTATTTGGTGTTTTTGTTGGATATGAACTTTCGAACCAATATCTTGTATAACTTTTTAAAACAAATGCATTTAAATACCGAATACTCTTAATTCAGAAACTGTTAATTTAAATTGCTTACGGAACATATAAATATTAAGGCAGTATATTATTTATGCCATCCGTCTCTATAAATTGCTCCTGATGGATGGATTATATACATTTTTTTAATGGTTTTCCATAGAATAACAAAGTTAGCTGATCACAACTC